GTGAAACCCCAGGGCAGCATAGGAAAATGCCGCCTCTTTTGGAGAGGAATACTTTTTGAGACTGTTGGTCTTTAGGTGTAGGTGTCTGATGTGGTAGCCAGCGATTAGACGATTTTAGCAGCACTTCCCTGGCCATTTAATCGTGGAGTGCTCGCTCTTTTTGTTATGCAAATACTGAATATGTTTGGCAGAACTTGACGCTAAAGCAAAGATTCTTCCTTATTGCGGCTCCTGTATTTTTTGCACAATTTTTCCCCCTTTTCCTGTAGTCACTAGAGTGTTGTGATGTATAACTTGTTTGCTTAGCTTTAAATAACAAAAATAACATGCATATGTTACTACTTCATGAGCCTGTGTCTCTTCTATCGCAAAAGCAGCTGCCATAGTAAACTCCCATTTAGCCCTATGCTGCACTGGGATTTATTCATTTGTTGTGTTAGTACCGCACTCTGAGCAGTTGAAAGAACAAACGGGGGTTTTTTAATCAGGAATAATGTTGGGCAGGTGAAGGGCAGGAAGGAATGTGGGTGTAACTTGATACGAAAATGAGCAAACTCTCTTCTGTTTACTTGCAAGGCAGGGTTTGGAGAAACTGAGCTTCGGTAGGCTGGGTGCGTTTGCCAATGGAGGCTCCTGGCACTGCAGGGACCTTTTCCGAAGAATCAGTACTTTGATCACATGCTTTTTCCTCCTTTTCTTGTCGGTGACCTAGTGCGGTTCACTTTCTTACCTGGAAACAAGTTAAGTGCCCCCGAGGTTATTTGGTGGTGATAGAATAAGAGCAAATAATTCAATTTAACAGCTGTGAATAGTAAGTATGTTTTATAAGCCAGGAAATCAGCATAGTGTAGGAATGACACAACAGTCAATCAGACACACATGGAAAAAGCAAAGTTAAAACTGATTTCACTTAGCTATGTCTTTCGTTTGCCTATTAAATAGATACTCATGAAGCTGGGTTTTTCTCCCTCTGGTTAGATAGATGAAAACATTGTCATCATATTGGTTTGGGGTTGTTTAGGAAAGGTCTCTGTGATTTTGGATATTGCGTGGAAAAATTCAATTGTGCTGAAGGCATCAGCAAAGAGGTATCGTGAAAGTGGCTGAGGTTTCGATTAGTGTTCGTCACCTGACATACATGCCAGGTTGGCATAGGGTTGACCAGAAAGGCAGATCTCCATCCTTAGAGATACTGAAAACTGAACTGGAGAGGTCACTGAACAACCCAAGCTAACTTACAGGACATACCCACGAAAGTCCCTCTTACCCTAAATCGTTTGGTGTTGATCCTCAGGGGGTTAGAGTTGAGAACTACTGTTGAGGTACAGTGCAGTTGGTAGGGACCTCTGTAAGC